ACCTGCCATTCCATATATGACAACCCATCCTGGTTCACCATTCAGTTTGAGCAGGTTCTGCTGAATTGCATTCACCAGCTTCTTCCTGGTAACAAAAACAACCGGCCTCTGTGGCACTCCACCTTCACACAGGACTGTCTTTACTGAAATCCAAAACAAAACAAGTATGAACAAATAGAACTCTGAAATGGTTACTCAAGTTATACCATAAAACCAAAAGAAAGCAAGGTTGAGCCTTTACCCTCAAAACTCCCAAGAGAAGAAAACGTGGCTAGCATACTAACCTTAACATTCTTATTTAGCAGAACAAAAACATATATTTTTCAAGATGACTGACAATGCAAAGCTCCATCTATATCTGCCCTTACACAACCTATTCCTCTCTGACTCTCCAATCTCTTTTTCTCATATTGAAGACTAGAAGGGACAGTGTAAAGGAAATGTGGAATTTCTTTCAAGAACACAGATTTCTAAAGATTCTTATTCTTTCCTATGCATGAACTCAATACACACAGAATTGGAGAAGAGCTTAAAGGCCTAAAAACTGTCTTTTTAGTATCTAAAAATGCCCAGTAGACAGCTCACTGGGCCAGAAGAAAAATGTGCGAGTTAACATAGGTGCAAATAAAATCCTGAATTGGAAAACAGAACTATAATTTTCTTCACATGCATTTTCAGTGAACTAATCATAATGTGTCTCTTCAACAGACTTCATTTACAGTAAGACAAACCACAGCAATGTAGCCACTGTGATAGTAAGGTAATAGAAGATATCACGGATACAAACCATATGAAGTTATTCCACCAACTGAATCTTTGCCACCACTGGAAGAAGAGATGACAGGAATGCCACTTTGGAGAAGGGCAGCAAGATCTTTATACCCTTCATGTATTAGAGCATTGTAGAATGATATGTAGGAATAATTATCTTTTTTAAGTATCATTTTAATTAACAGAGCTGCTCGCTGCTGTTGAGTGGGCTAAAAAAATAAATAAATAAGTAGTTTAGCATACTACAAAGAATATGTTGGTAACATAAACTAGTGGAGAACAGTGCAAGTTCTGAAATAAATGTAAGAAAATATTTTAAACTCAAATAATTATATCATACATTTTTAAATAAAAATTAGAAAGAAAAAAATTTTATAGCACAGACTTCCACAGAGGGCTTTACCTCATTTTTTACTTTTTCCTCCTCCAATACTGTTAAAACTCCATCATTAATCATACGATCCATGATGTAGGACGTTTTGATGTCCTTTTCCAGGGCTTCTCTATGTTGAAGCAAACAGTTTCGAGCTTTTGCGTCCATCCTCCCTCAAATTTTTTGCTGACCTGTCAACCATGAGCTATGGGCAAAACATCACAATATTTGTCAGGGCAATAAAGATATGAAAAGATGTGTAACCTCACTGGTAATCAAGAGATAAAGAAAATAAGACCTTTTTGCAAAGATTTTTAGAAACGGATAAAACCCCAGGCTTTCAAAGGTGTGAGAAAATGAGTATTCATGTGCCCTGCTTGAAAAGAGTACAAAATGGATGCAACTTTTCTGGAAAGCAATATGATAAGATATAAAACCATTTCAAGTGAGTATTCTCTCTAACCCAGAAATCCCACTTCTAGAAATTTACCTCAACGAGACATTCACATATGTATGCAAAAATATCCACAGAAAGAGTTAACAGGGGTCCCTCGGTGGCTCAGTCAGTACGGCATGTGACTCTTGATCTTGGAGTGTAAGTTCAAACCCCACACTGGGCCTGGAGCCTACTTTAACAAACAAACAAAAAAAAAGAGTTAACAGAGAATGTTTAGGTGAGGGGAAAAAAAGATGAAAACAAAACAAAAATTAAAAAAAACAAACAAACATGAAAACAACCTAAATGCCCACCTTTCTGAATATAGATTAAAAAAATTAGAGTATGTATATAAAATAGAGTATTATACAGCCATTTAAAATAAGACCCTTCTCCATGTACTGACATGGAAAGATGTTCACTACACACTGCTAATTAAAAAAAATCAGAAATATGATTCCATATACAGGACAAAATATGTATTAGTATCATATAAATACATAGGGAGATGTTAGGAAGTCTACTCAACATAATATACTTGAGGTTACTTCTAAGTAGCAAGATTTGGGGGTTCCTATACAGTTTCTATAGTCTTAATTTTTTTCAATATACATTTCATTTTTATAATATTTTTTTTAAGATTTTATTTACTTGAGAGAGAGCATGAGGGGAGAGGGTCAGAAGGAGGAGCAGCAGACTCCCCACTGAGCAGGGAGCCTGATGCAGGACTCGATCCCAGGACTCCAGGACTATGACCCAAGCCAAGGCAGTTGCCCAATCAACAGGGCCACCCAGGTGCCCACTTTTTTTTATAATTTGTAAATTGCTCTTATGTCTTAAAATGCACAACCTTCTTTAGGTAACTAAAAACACTTCTATATCTTCTTTTTAAGATTTTTATAAATAACAATCATACTGAAATCCTAATGTTTAGAAACTTGTCTTTATCCAATATAAGACTAAACAGAACATTGTTCTCACTCAAGGTGAGTGTCAGCTCTAGGTCTTCATCTGTAAACACATCTCTCACATGCTTACTCCATTAATGTTTCAGCTGAGCTGCTAAGTATGAAAAAGCAGCAGAAAATACTCACTGATGTCATTCCTCAGATTAAGAGGATACAAAGAGAGGCACCTGGGGGCTCAGAGTCAGCTGAGCGTCTGACTTTTCTTTTTTTTTTTTTTAAGATTTTATTTATTTATTTGACAGAGAGAGAGATCACAAGTAGGCAGAGAGGCAGGCAGAGAGAGAGGGGGAAGCAGGCTCCGCGCTGAGCAGAGAGCCCGATGTGGGGCTCTATCCCAGGACCATGACATCATGACCTGAGCTGAGGCAGAGCTTAACCTACTGAGCCACCCAGGCACCCCTGAGCATATGACTCTTGATTTTGACTCAGGTCATGATCTCAGGGTCATTAGATTGATGGAGCCCTGCATCAGGCGCCATGCTGAGCATGGAACCTGTATAAGATTCTCTCTCTCTCCTTTGGGGCACCTGGGCAACGAAGTCCATTAAGTAACCACCTCAGGTCCTGAGATGTGAGATCCAGTCCCAGGTCTGGCTCCACACTTGGGGAGTTTGTTTCTTAAGTTTCCCTCTCCTTCAGTTCTTCCCCCGACATGAAGTATTTATCCTTCTCTCTCGTTCTGTCTCAAATAAATAAATAAATCTTAAAAAAAAAAAAAAAAAGAGTTCTCCCTCTCCCTCTGCCTCCCTCCCACCCCTGATGCTCTTTAAAAAATAAATTAAAAAAAAATAAAAATATTCTTTACAGCATAATACTCTAAGAAGTTTCTACCAGTTTTATTTCAAATACAATGCAAATTTTTCCATGGGTATAAAACCCAATCCGAATATTTGCAGGTTTTTAAAAACATTAACAGAACACTACCCAATGTAGTCAGTGTCTAAACGTGTTCAGTAATTTATTCATTCAATAAACATTTGAGCCCCTCCTCTGTGCCAGGCCCTGAAGTCTACAGAGAAGATTAAATCATACCCCTGAAGGAATTCATAATCTAGTGGGAGAGAAAAATTTGAAGAGATAATTAGAATGTGATGTCCTAAGTGCAAAAATATAGATAAGCACAAATAATTTAGAGTGTACAAAAGAAGAGGGATAATCATTAAGTATCAACAATGACTATATACTTGTGGCACTTGCAAATATGGGAAAATATAGCACTTGTCTATACTTGTCAAGGTTCACCAAATGCCCAATACTAGCATGAAACTGAAGGATAAAAGAAAAAGTTATGATCAGAATCAAGGCTACGGTATTTTTCAAACGTTACTAACGTTTTATGACCTCAACTGAAACAAAACATTCCTTAATCATTAGTTAATTTTTTAGGGTGTATCAAACTGCTAAACAGACACCTCTGACAACCTGAAACTAATTTCCAACTTTCCCCAGCCCTATTAAAACTAAGTATGTACGTTTTAAATACGTTTTTAAACTCTGAACAAATCCTAATATTACGAACAAATTCTCAGCGTCCCACCTCCTGTAACCACATCAAAATATAAACTCAAACTCTTCAAAGATGTGATATAGAGAGTAAAGAGAATTTCATCCAGGAAAACCGTAACAGTTGGCCGCTTCCTCTTTCTGCAGTTTCTCTTCCTGGTACAGGAGCAGTATGGTTATCAACTATTCCCTGTCCCAGAATTCTGAATCCCTGAAATCGGCTACTGAACCTCCAGAGAACCCAGCTCCGGCAGAATAAGCGAGGCGCAAACTTACCCAAACCTGTGCACAATGGTGTTATTGGGAAAGAGCCCTGCAAGGACAGACTGGGAAGTCCAGGTGGGGGTGGGGGCGCAGCTGGGGAGGTAAGCAATGAGGGCTTCCTAAAGAGAACGCAGGGATTGGCGCGCGGCCCCGGGACAAGAGCGGGCCTCCCAGGTGCCCTTCCAGAGCCTCCTCAGTCCCGGGCGCCTCAAGACCCCCGGAAACCTCTGACCCGCGGAGAGGTAGACGTCACCCCCACTGACCGACCACACAGTCCCGGGCCGCCGAGGTGACGCCGGGTCTGAGGCCCGCCCTTCGTGGACCCCACCCCAGACACAAAGGGAGGAGGGCCACTCGAGCTGTCTGTCGCTCTTTCCTTCAGCGGCAGCTGCACGCCGGCCGGAGTCCGGCGCCACTCCGCCTCGACTTCAGGTCCTCGCACGTCGCTGACGGCCCAGACTTCTCACCTTCGGCTCCCTCGCCCTTCAGTCCAGGAATAAAAGAACCAGCGTCCACTGGAAACCTCCTCCTCTCCGCCCTAGAACCGCGGAGCAGTCAAAACGCACCGGGCCCGCCTAGCCCGGACAGCGCGCGCCCGCGCACGCAAATATACACACCCGGAGCCGCCGAGAAGCGGCCGCCGCCGCGCGCGCTCCCTCCGCCGCTAGTGCCAGCGCGCGCCTGAGGAAGCACCCTCCGCCCCACCCTATGGCGGGGGCGTGGCTAAACCACGGGGGCGCGCCTCCTTACTAGGCCCCGGGACTTCGGCGGCGAGCTCCACGTGGCGCGCTCTACGCCTCCCAGCCCCTTCGCAGCCCCGCGGTCCGCGCGCGCCGGGAGGCCACGATTTCATCAGGTTTGCGGCATTAATGGAAAGGGGAAGGAGGCCCGTCAGGTTCCTCTGCTGAAGGAACCAGAGGGCGGGTGGTTGAGGTACGCTGTGAAGCAGTGAGAACGGCCGGGCCGGGGAGGGGGGGGCAAGCTTCTGGGAGGTGCCTAGTCGAGGAGGGGGCGCGGCTACCGCGGAGGCGTTCCGCTGAGGCTGAGGCGGCCACGTCCCGACCCCCCAGGGTGAAGAAGCTACCCCAGGCTTGTCGCGTCCTCAGACATGTCGGAGGTGAAAAGCCGGAAGAAGTCGGAGCCGGGGAAGCGGAGCGAGGGCGGGAAGAGCACCGAGGCCCGGGGCGGTGGAGGCGAGGGCTGGGTGGATCCCCGGGCCGGCGTGAGCCTGCTGTCGCTGGGGACGTGCCTGGGCCTGGCCTGGTAAGTGGACGCGAGGCCCCCCGAGCCCTGTGTCCGGCCTCCCGCGATCTCCCCGTTCTTCTCGGGGCCTCGCCTGGCTCAGCATCCCGCTAACCTCCCAACCCCTGTCCTGTGGCTTTTGTTCCTCTGCCTCGACCCCAGAAAAGGGACAGCGCATCCTTTTTTTTTCCCCCTTTTCGCTCGTTTCTTGAAACTCATTTTTCCTTTTATTGATGTGATTCAGTCACTTAACTGGAGTTGAGACTAAAGTCTGTGAATGAGTCAGCCATTTCTAAAGGGATGCGGATTTGGCCAAACTTTACTAAAGTGCCTACTACACGTCGGAAGCTTCTAGGTTTTTGTAACCCATTTCCTGTCCGCTCCGCATTTGCCTTGGACACAGTTGCCCCACCCTCACCCCATAAATGCCTAATGGCAACGTTTGCAGTCTAAAGAATTGAGTATGCTCTCGGGCAACAAACGTTAATGACAATTATCAGAGTTTGGAGGATTTCTCATATTGCCATCATTGTTCATGTGTTATGAATTTAAAGTGTATTCCGAAGTTACAGATTGAATTTTATTACTGTAAAATGACAAGAGTGTAGCATTTGTGTTCACCTAAAACTGAACATCTGTACTTTTTAAACCAAGTAAATAGCGATACATTGTTGTTACAGAAAAAAATGAGTGTTGGAAATAACCTTAAGGGGCTCCTGGGTGGCACAGTCGGTTAACTGCCTCCTTTGGCTCAGGTCATGATCCTGAGGTTCTGGGCTGGAGGCCCGGGTGGGCCCTTGCCTGTCTTTCTGCCCCGGCCCCATCGCCCAGGTCATGCTCTCGCTGGGGGGCGCTCTCTCTCTGTCTCTCAAATAAATAAAAATAAGCAGACTGATTCCTTAAATTAGAATTTCCCTCCACTTTCCCCCGATTTTTAAAGTATTTAGAAGATAGTTATTTGTCTTTGAGAGTAATCGAATTCTAGGAGGGCCCCTGGACTTCCTTTAGTCTAGACCATTTTTGATTGTAGTAAATTTTGAGTTATACTGTACTGGTGACTCATGCTGAGTGGAAATTGATAAAACATCTATTACAATAAAGTGGATGTTATTAAACGGATGTTATAAAGTGGATGTCTCTTCAAGGGGTGCTGGGGTGGCTCAGTTGGTTAGGCATTTGGCTGTTTGGCTTTGGCTGAGGTCATGATCCCGGGTCCTGGGATTCCACTGCATATTAGGCTCCCTGCTCAGTGGGGAGCCTGCTTCTCCTCCCTCTGCCTGCTGCTCTGCCTGTGTTCCCTCTGTCAAATAAATAAATAAAATCTTTTAAAAACAGGGGCGCCTGGGTGGCTCAGTGGGTTAAAGCCTCTGCTTTCAGCTCAGGTCATGATTCCAGGGTCATGAGATCAAGCCCCGCATGGGGCTCTCCGCTCAGCGGAGAGCCTGCTTCCTCCTCTCTCTCTGCCTGCTTCTCTGCCTACTTGTGATCTCTGTCTGTCAAATAAATAAATAAAATCTTTAAAAAAAAAAAATCTTTTAAAAACAAATAAATACGGGGCGCCTGGGTGGCTCAGTGGGTTAAAGCCTCTGCCTTCGGCTCAGGTCATGATCCCAGGGTCCTGGGATCAAGCCCCACATCGGACTTTCTGCTCAGTAGGAAGCCTGCTTCCTCCTCTCTCTCTGCCTGCCTCTCTGCCTACTTGTGATCTCTGTCTGTCAAATAAATTTAAAAAAAATTTTTTAAATAAATAAATAAATACATGTTCTCTTTTTTAAAAATATGCTTATCTTAGTAATAATGGCATTTTGTTTATGTAATATTTTATTTTTGATCTTAAAAGACTAAATTTACCCTTTTTAATAAATTTTGTAAATTGCTCGTATGTCTTAAAATGCATAACTTTCTTTAGGTAAATAAAAACCCTTTTATACTGAGAAAGTCATTCCGTAATAGGGCTAGTAGTCTAAAAGATACAGATCTTCCTTGAATTAGGATGGGGTTCCTTCTCAGTAAACCCATTGTAAGCTGAAAATATAAATCAAAAATGCATTTAATACACCTCATCTACCAAACATCATAGCTAAGCCTAACCTATCTTAAATATGCTCAGAACACGTCACATTAGTAGACAGTTGAGCAAAATCATCTAACAAGCTTATTTTTACAAGAAAGTACTGAATATCTTATGTAGTTTACTGAATACTGTACTGAAAGTTTAAAAAAAAAAAACAATGCTTGTATGGGTACAGATGGGTTGTAAGTGAATCATGGTCACGTGGCTCACAGGGAGCTGCTGCTGCAACCACTGCCTAGAATCAGGGGAAAGAATCCAACCAAGGAGAGGATCAGGGTCTCACTGCTACTCCAGGAAATGGTCAAAATTCAAAGTACATTTTCTACTGAATGCATGTCACTTACATACCATCGTAAAGTCAAAAAAATCTAAGTCAAACCATTATAAGCTTGGGATCATCTGTATATGTTGCTTCTCTCTGGAACCTAATACAACTGGTTTTAGTTATTAAATTTATTAAATCTTGATTATTCAAAGATTCATATTCATATGAGATAAATTACATCACAGAATGTTCAGCTTTTCAGTACTTTAGTTTTTGTTCTGGGAAAACACTAATATAAATCCATAGGGGCACCTGGGTGGTTCAGTCAGTTAAGTGTCCCAACTCTCGATTTCAGCTTATGTCATGATCTCAGGGTTGTGGGATCATGCCCCAAGATGGGCATGGAGTCTGCTTAAGATTCTGTTTTCCTCTCCTTCTGCCCCTCTCCCCCCAACCCCCCCATCTCTTTAAAAAAAGAAATCTGTAAAGGAAAACCTGAAAAGTAGACACTTTAGTGCAGGAATTTACTGTTAGTGCTTACAGTAAAGACACAAGTTATATTGAAAACTTTCACTAACCTCATTTTTCATCTTTTCTTGCTGGTTTTTTTTTTTTTTTTTTTTTTTTGGTAAGTGAAGTTTTATCTGAAAGGGTTATGCTTTAAAATGCTCTGAATTTTTTTTTAAAGATTTATTTACTTATTTGTTTATTTATGAATGAGTGAAAGAGAGCAAGCAAGCACACAGAAGGAGAGGGAGGGAGAAGCAGACTCCCTGCTGAGTAGGGATCCTGATGCAGGCTCAATCCCAGGACCAGGGATCATGAGCTGAGCTGACGGTAGATGCTTAACCGACTGACCCACCAGGTGTCCCTAAATGCCCTGATTTTAAATGGAATATGGTCATTACTTTCCTGGACATTCAGTATTGTGCCTGGAAATGAAGCTGTAGTATGAAACATGGCTGAATGGGTACCGACATGGCCCTGGAACTCCTTTCTTGCAAAAGATACATAACGACAGCTTCCTTTGTTTATTTGCCTCTTTTTCATTATTAAGTTGAAACAATCAGAAATCCTGAAAGTCCTCAATCAACTATCTGCCACCATCTAAGATTACTAAAGAAGCTATGGAGAGGAAACACCCTAAGGAAGTGAACACTGTTTTGTCCTACAGGCTCTGAATCAGTATGAGGTGTCTGTAGACTGCAATGGATTCTGAAGGAGTCGAAGATTTCCTCTTGTAAGGCCCACACTAAACTAGTCAGTTAACCTGCGGCCCTTTCTCCTATATCCTTTTCCCATGTGATAATGAGAAGCAGCCCCAAAATAGGGTAAGAGAGTGCTCTTCCTGTAAGTGGTCTAATCTGTCCATTCCATCTTTGATTTGCTTTAAACCCAACACTTTTTCAAAGGTGGACAGGCCTGGGGCATCAGGTATAAGCAGGAGGAGAACCTGATGCTTTATACCACTATAGGTTTGTCAGAGGGATGGAAAAGCAGCCACACAAAGCAGTCTGAAAGAAATGGCCAAGGTACTTAAAAAGAGTAGCTAATGTGTGATACCCTAACTGCATAAATTTGAACCTATTTAATCCCCACAACAACCCTATGAAGTATTATGATTCCCACTTTACAGATGAAGAAACTACAGCAAAGATAAATATCTTGCCCAAGATGATTATACAGCTAGTAAATGGCAGAGCCAAATTTGCTCAGTTCTGTACTCTTACCCAGTATGATATGCTACCTCCTTTGATACTAATCTAAGAGGCCAAACCCTTAGAAATAAAAATCCCTAGTCCAGAACTATTTATAGTCCTTTTCTAACTAGAAACTACAGCTCTTAGCAGACCCTGTCTCCCTCATCTAAATTGAGGAAGACAGGGAATAAGGGGGCTTTGAACTTCTGTTAGAATATGGCTCTGGGGGCGCCTGGGTGGCTCAATGGCTTAAGCCTCTGCCTTCAGCTCAGGTCATGGTCTCAGGGTCCTGGGATCAAGCCCCACATCGAGCTCTCTGCTCAGCGGGGAGCCTGCCTCCCCCTCTCTCTCTGCCTGCCTCTCTGCCTACTTGTGATCTCTCTCTCTCTCTGTGTCAAATAAATAAATAAAAATCTTAAAAAAAAAAAAAAAAGAATATGGCTCTGATTGGTTAAGCATCTGACTTTGTTTTGTTTCATTTATTTGTCAGAGAGAGAGTGCGAGCACAAGCAGGGGGATCGGCAGGCAGAGGGAGAAGCATACTCCCTAATGAGCAAGGAGCCTGATGCAGGACTCTATCCCAGGACTCCAGGATCATGACCTGAGCCAAAGGCAGATGCTTACCCACCTGAGCCACCCAGGTATCCCACGTCTGACTTTTAATCTCAGCTCAGGTCTCAGTCTCACAGTTGTGAGTTTAAGCCTCGTGCTGGGCTCCATGCTCATGTGGAGCCTACTTTAAAAAAAATGTTAAAGGACCTTTAAAAAAAATGCCTGGGTGGCTCAGTCGGTTAAGCGTCTGCCTTCGGCTTAGGTCATGATCCCAGGGTCCTGGGACTGAGTCCCATATCGGGCTCCTTGCTCAGGAGGGAGCCTGCTTCTTCCTCTGCCTGCTGTTGCCCCTGCTTGTGCAGGATAAGCAGGGGGACAAATAAATAAATCTTTTTTTTAATGTATATTTGTATACCTCTGATTCATGAAAAGGAAACAAAGCACGTTGGACACTAACCTGGATGCCAGTTTGAAAAACTTAGTTTTTCAGGATTGAAGTTACCTTCTGTCAACATTGACTTCTAGAAAATCATCCTCTTCCTTAATATTAAATGAGTTAGTTTTTACAAATCATTTTAGAATACTGCTTGGCACATCTAAGTGATAAATAAAATGAATGTATTTTAACTTCGCACATACAAACCACTTTTCATTTTTCTCATTACTAGCCCAGAGTCAACTTTATGCTTTTTTTTTTTTTTAAGATTTTATTTATTTATTTATTTGACAGAGCACAAGTAGGCAGAGCCGAAGGTAAAGAGAGAAGAAGGCAGAGGGAGAGAGAAGGGGAGAAGCAGGCTCCCCACTGAGCAGAGAGCCCAAAGATCTCAGGATCCTGGGATCATGACCTAAGCCAAAAGCAGATGCTTAACCAGCTAAGCCAACCAGGCATCTCTATGCTTGTTTTTTCTTATATGCATTATTTTTCATATGTAGTTATGATGAATCTTTTTTTGTTGAGAAGCTAACCATGAAAAAAAACCTACAAATTATCATCAGAGATGATATTTGCACTAGCATGACATAGTTTTCTTCAAGGTTTTGCTTAATATTTGAATTTTGAAGAGAAGTCCAGAAAAAGACATTAAAATATTTAATAAAATGGAAAGCACTATAATGTGTTAGAGAAGTGGGTCAATCTTCACAAAAAGTGCCTTATACTAATACAGTTTTATTCTGAATAAACATTCTGATCTGCAGGATAAATCCCTAGGTAATACTGGAGTAATGAGTGATAAAACTAATCTCTGAAATTAGACTTATTTCTTTAGAGTGTTCTCCATCCTTGGTCTCTGTGTGATAATCTCAGATAAGCCTATACTCTGAAAAGAATCTCTTAAAATCCAAGAATGAAACAGTCAATATAAAAAAAAAAATTAAATCTACACTTTCATCTTTGAAAATTAGAATAATGGCATTTCCTAGTAACCAGAAATGTTATTTGAAAGTTATATTCACACATAGGAGAAAAGTCAATCTATGCTAGTTATGTAATCTGTGCTTACTTAATTGGCTGTTATCTCATAGGACAGACACTAGCCATCATCAGAAGAAACTTACTTTATGGGGTGCCTGGGTGGCTCAGTTGGTTAGGCATCTCATTCTTGATTTTGGCTCAGGTCGAGATCTCAGGGTTGTGAGATTGAGCCCTATGTTGGGCTCAAGTCTGCTTATTCCTCTCCCTCTGCTCCTTCCCCCCACTACTCAGGCTCTCTCTCTCTAAAATAAATAATTTTTTTTTTAAGTGCTTGTTTGGGGGTGCCTGGGTGACTCATTGGGTTAAGCCTCTGTCTTCAGCTCAGGTCATGATCTCAGGGTCCTGGGATCGAGTCCCGCATCGGGCTCTCTGCTCAGCCGGGAGCTTCTTCACCTCCACCTCTGCCTGCCTCTGCCTACTTGTGATCTGTCAAATAAATAAATGAAATCTTTTAAAAAGACATATTTATTTTATCCAATATTGCAAACATTGTTCAAAAGACAAAAAGTCCATTTTAGTTTCGGACAGTTTTATAGCAAGTTAGCCTAATAATACTTAGAAATTTGAAGCATCACCACCTTTGGAATGATACACAAAGTTTAGAAGTCTTTCATCTTTCCTTTTTCGATCTTTAAATGTTTGTCTCTCAATGGAAATCAGTTTCATAAAACACTATCAATTAGTGCTGCTCAGCTTGACTGACTACTCAATCTGGGGAGCTTTTAAGATTTCCAATATCCAAATCACATCCTAAACCACATAAGTCAGAATTTCTGTGGGTGGGACCCAGGCATTATTAGACTTTTTAAAAGCGGACAAGTGACTCCAATATGTAGCAAAGCTTTTGAACCACTGGTCTATGTACTATGATTTAAGCCCTCTCTTCATAGGGTTCTCCCCCACCACATTTTGATGACTCAATAAATACACAAAGAATTTTAACTCCTGCTTTTTCTGAGCCCAAAGAATTGAGTCAAAAGTAGATGAACCAAAATGGTATTAGCTCCAAAGCATTTCTTTTGCATTTGCTTATCTCAAGTCCTATATACAAAAGTCTAGAAACAAAAGTCTGTTTATTTTTTTTAAAAGATTTTATTTACTTATTCATGAGCAACAGAGAGCAAAGGGAGAAGGCAGGGCCCTCACTGAGCAGGGATCCCGATGTGGGATTTGATCCTAAGACCCTGGGATCATGACCTGAGCTAAACGCAGACCCTTAACGATTGAGTCACCCAGGTGACCCCAAAGTCTATTTATTGTTTTGAAGATTGGGATAACTTTTTTATGCTTCTACAACCTTTACTACTTACCAGATGAAGAATACACTCCAGTTTTAGAGTGGCATCTAAAGTACACCTTTATGACTCATATATTGGTTATAACCAATTGTTATACGCCCTGCATTGCATATATGTTCTATTGCCACTTTGACAATGACTCCTGTTTTCATAGTTTTGACTTGTTATTTTTCTTTTTTCTTTTTTTTTAATTTTTTTTTTTAAGATTTTTATTTATTTATTTGATAGAGATCACAAGTAGGCAGAGAGGCAGGCAGAGAGAGAGGAAGGGAAGCAGGCTCCCTGCTGAGCAGAGAGCCCGATGTGGGACTCGATCCCAGGACCCTGAGATCATGACCTGAGCCGAAGGCAGTGGCCCAACCCACTGAGCCACCCAGGCGCCCCTTGACTTGCTATTTTTCAACTACTAGTCATCATCTTTCTGTTCCACTCCAAGGCTTCATTTCTCTCCTACATTTTAATTTAAAATATTTTTATATAGGTAACTCTTGCTTCTACATTTCAGTATGAAAAAGCTTATTTTCTAGATATTGCCCAAATATGACCTTGAGAAAAATAGTAGCAATCCCATATCTTGTTCTAGGTAATTCATCATTTCTCCCTCTAAAACATTTCTTATGCAGACAGCTATCACTACCATCTCACTGGGACTTGAACAGGATAGAGTTTCATTTTCTATTAATTTGTTGAGATAAACTACTAAAAGCTGTCACTACTCATACCAGAATTTATGGTGTCCTTGCCAGAAGTATAAAATGTTCCTTTAAAATTCAAATTTAAATGGATATGAATTAGGGGGCAGTGTTTTCTTTCTTTTTTTTTTTTTTTCTAGGTTTGTATTTCAGCAGTCTGAAAAGTTTGCAGAGGTGGAAAGCCAATACCAGTTACTGAAAATAGAAACCAACAAGTTCCAAGGACTTCAAAGTAAAATCAGTTTAATTTCAGAAAAGGTAAATTACTTACTAATTGGCTTACTTGCATAGATTTCCCGTTTTTCTTCCCTGCTACCACCCTTGTACTCCATACTTCCTTTTTCCTGCCTTGTAGACCATTAACTGTTTTAACTCTCACTGGTTTTTGTACATTTCTCCCTTCAGTCCAATTTAGACTCAGATTATTTTGAAGAGATAGTGTTGGTTTTTTTTAATATAAATGTTACTGTTTATATTGATGTGACCCCAATTTTCTATTTGAATATCAAATGTCTAGAGCACTGAAAATATGATTGGTCTTTAGGTATAAAATTAGAAGAGCAACAGCACTTGCTGGGCAAAGGTCCATCAGGTTGTTTTTTTTTTTTTTCCTCTACTTTCTAGTTGGAAAATTTGTATACATCTGCATATCAGAGTGACTAATCTAAAAATAAATATTGGCTTTGTAGCCAAAAGAAAATTAAAATCCATGCGTATGTTGTGTTTCTTCAAGCTGCAAATGCAAATGCATTGTTACTGGAATTCTTAGAAATGTGAGACATAAAAAATTTTTAACTACCATGCTTCTCAGGAGAGGTCAGCTGCAATCAATAAGGCATCATGCGGGACTTGTTTGGCTACCAGGAACCAAGCTATGGTTGGGAAACATGCCTTCTTTGTTCTTTTATTCATTCACTAAATCTTTACTTATGTCATAAGGTAGACAAGGACTTGTGCTTGTGCAAGGTGAGCAAGGATTTACAAAAAAAAAACAGAAAAATGAAATAGAGGGTCTGAGTTCCTGTGGCTTCATGCATAGAATTAGCATATAATCAGTCTCCCAGAAGAGAAAAGCCATAGATGAAGATTATGCATCACTCACATGTGCCAGGGGATTCCACAGAGGGTGAGCCCAACGGCCTCGGGAAGAAGCTACTACATACTGCTGCAAAAGTGGGTATCTTGACAGAAGGCTCAAGTCGGAATCTGGTTATACTTGTTAGGGGCTCCTCTAATCAGCGGGAACAGTTATAGAAAAATAAATCCCAGGAGATAGAAACTCTGTATACTTGAAAGCTATTGAAAACAAATTTTGAAGAAAGACATCCTTTTGAAATGAAAAATTTGGTAGCAGGGGCACCTGAGGGGCTCAGTGGGTTAAAGCCTCTGCCTTCGGCTCAGGTCATGATCCCGGGGTCCTGGGATCGAGCCCTGCATCGGGTTCTCTGCTCAGCAGGGAGCCTGCTTCCCCCCTCTCTCTCTGCCTGCCTCTCTGCCTACTTGTGATCTCTGCCTGTCAAATAAATAAATAAAATCTTAAAAAAAAAAAAAAAAAACAGACATTGCCATTTAAAAAAAATGGTAGCAATTAAAATGCCTTTTGAGGCAGATTTTTTTAAAATATCATCATTATCCAAGAAATATTCAGTCTTTGCAAAGCTCTTTCTCTCCCAGGCTTCCCTGGGAGTAATTGAACAATAGCTGTCCTTCCGCAAAGCTGGGCCTAACAGTCAGCATGGTCAGTAGGAGGGGAAAACAACAGGATGGGGACTCTCATCACAACTGTGTGACCTTGAAAAAAATCACTTTAACTTCTCTTAGCCTCTTTGCATCATTTATTAAGTGAGAATAACAAGATTTTTAAAAGGATCAGATGTGATGCAATATATATGCAAACTTTTCAAAAACGTTAAATAGGATTGAAGGGGCGGGGGGGTGGGAGGTTGGGGGAACCAGGTGGTGGGTATTGGAGAGGGCACGGATTGCATGGAGCACTGGGTGTGGTGCAAAAAACAATGAATACTGTTATGCTGAAGATAAAAAATAAAAAAATATAAATAAATAAAAAACTTTAAATAGTAGTAAATTTAAGGTATTAAGCTCTTTTAAAAAATGAAAAAACTGTTAGGTTATATTGTCAGTCCATAAATGCAAATTATTATAACATACTAGTCACTGTATATTTTCAGATTCAATCTTGAGACCTTTACTATTCTGGAAAGTTGGTCTTGTATTTGGGGTCTGCTTGGGTATATTGCCTCCAGATTACAGTGATGCTCTGGTGAACAGCCTAAACAGGAAATCACCATAGATGAAGATAAACTTACCTCTTCAAAAGGCTGACAATAAGACAACTAAACTAACAGTATTACTGATGTACAAATATTTCTCAGAACTGATTTTTAAAGGATCTTTTATAATAGCTACATGTGTACATTAAAGATAATTTTTTAGTCTTTTTTTTAAACATTTTATTTATTTATTTGACAGAGAGAGAGACAGTGAGAGAGGGAACACAAGCAGGGAGAGCGGGAGAGGGAGAAGCAGGCTCTCCACTGAGCAGGGAGCCCGATGCAGGGCTGGATCCTAGGACCCTGGGACCACAACCTGAGCCGAAGGCAGTCACTCAACGACTGAGCCACCCAGGCACCCCTAAAGACTTGATTTGATTTTTAAGATTTTATTTATTTATTTAACAGAGAGAGACACCACAAGAGAAGGAACACAAGCAGAGGGAGTGGGAGAGGAAGAAGCAGGCCTCCCACTAAGTAGGGAGCCCGATGTGGGCTTCCATCCCAAGACCCTGGGATCATGACCCGAGCTCAAGGCAGATGCTCAACGACTGAGCCACCCAGGTGCCCCAAAAGGTTTTATTTTTAAGTAATCTCTATACCCAATGTGAGACTCAGACTTACAGCCCTAAAGATCAAGAGTTGTATGCTCTATCAACTGAGCCAGTCAGGCACTCCTAAAAATAACTTTTAAATAATGTTTCAGAGTGCTCTTATTAGTCAGTACTGTTACACATTGTTTCTAACTATCACCTGGGATTGCTTCAGGTCTTGATTGGGGTGGGCCCAGAAGATTTATGGCCATTCTTCTTCCTAAATGTCAACAAACATGTTTTTTATTCCCTAAGATTTGGGAGCTACAGAAAGGCACAAGAGTCTCTTCTCCTAAGGAATTTAGAAGCTCTCATATCTGCACCTGACTACTAACATCAGTCTCTTCAAGAGTCAGATTTCAAAGTCACTTCTAAGCCTTTCCTCATTCGGCTCCAGACTCAGAGCATCCATTCTCCTCATGACAGGAATAGGAAACTTGTGAGTTTATTAATTTACCTCCTTTTCTGCTCTTTAAAGCACTGTGTCTTTCTCTCTGTATCCTAGTGCTTAATAATGGAACAGAGGATAATCAGTAAATCTTAGTGGGATTCCAGATATGTGATGTAAAAGATCCAAAATGCTATCTCCTCTGTCAAATTATGAAGTCAGGAGCTATATTATGTCTCTATTTTCATATTTAGTGTCTAGCACAAGGTCGGGCATAGAGCGAATTCTCAGAAATTCTCTAGTTTTATGTGCTGAGTGCCAAACAAGTGTCAAATACACAACACAATATGTGCTCCCGGAGTTTGGGCTATGGAAGAATGCTGCCCTGAGGAGCTGGCATCTGCTCTAGGCCTTGAAGGAAAGACAGAAGTGAGCTAAGCAACAAGGAGGGAAGAATAGCATACACAGGTAAATTTGGGACTGTATCCTAGAAGTATTAAGGAATTGTAGGTTTTCTAATGTCATACCATGATGTGCATAGCAGTTTTTAAAAGCTTCATCTGGCTATAGCATGGTAGTATGATTCAGAAAAGAAGTAACTAGGTGCAGATATTAGATAATACTTCTAGAATATTTTCCTTGATCTTTGAAGTCTGGTTTGGGTCCCCCACGTAAGTGCTTCCATAGCTCTTCCCCTGTCATAACACATGTAGACTTGGCTTTCTCCCCAGTTAAACCAAGCTGCTTAAGGGCAGAACCATGTTTTGTACAGTATTACACTTTCAACACATTGCTGCAAACACTTAGTAAGTTAACAATCATTCTAGGCTTTCCTGTAGTCTCTGAAGCTGTTATCTGTGTGTGAGAATAAGCTAAAAGAGGTCCACAGCGTCCCATATTCTGGACACATATGAGGAAATGCCAGGAGCTTACCACAATTTACAGATACTTAGCACATGTAACTATTTGATGTGAGTTACCTCACTAAATTGGACTTTTATTCATTTCTGCCTTTGTTATATCTATAATATCTGATTCTGGTACCTTCTCTGTAAGAGGTCAGTCAAGAAATTTTCAGGCAGAAACTCTTCCAGAATCAGAGAATTTAGGAAACTTAACAAATTTTATTAACTCAGTTACAGTTTCTAAAAAAGCTGAATAACTATAAGAATGACAAGTAAGTTGCTTTCCATTGGAGTAAGAAAAGAAGGAAATGTGATATACTTCAGACTTCTTTAACATTATTTCTCTGTTGAATGTCCCTCCATGAAAATGTACAAACATTTAGGTTTATAAATTGAGGTGTGTGTTTTTCTACCATAGTGCTAATCTGTCACATTTGTTTTAAAATCTGTTAAAACAACTGCTAAAGTAATGAATGTTTTTGTCATTATGGTTCTGATATACTTGGATATTTTAGACATCTTCAGAATTTGAACTGGGCATGTGCTTGTTAAAGTGTATTTGCCTAATATGAAAGTCATTAAGGGGCACCTGAATGGCTCAGTGGTTAAGTGTCTGACTCCTGATTTTGGCTCAGGTCATGATCTCAGAGTCCTGAGATCAAGCCCCATGTTAGGCTCCACACCCATGGTGGATTCTCTCTCTCCCTCTTCCATTTGCCCCTCTCCCCTCCCTTGTTCATGCTCTCTGTCTCTCTCTCTCTTAAAAAAAAAAAAAAAAAAAAAAAAAAAAAGTTATTAAGTAGCCTTGGGAATTGTTTTGTGTTACAAATACAGCTTGAGTCTACTGAAAGTATCCTGCAGGAAGCGACATCATCCATGTCTTTGGTGACCCAGTTTGAGCAGGAAGTATCCAGCCTCCAAAGTATCATGCACAACATCCAAAATAGTGAAGAATTACTCACCCAAAAGATGCAAAGCCTTAATGAGAAATTCCAGAATGTTTCAGATTTCTGGAAAAGAACCCTAGAAGAAATGAATGTTAATACAGACATTTTCAAATCAGAATCAAAACACATACATTCTCAAGTGACTGTCCAAATTAACTCAGCTGAACAAGAAATAAAATTGCTCACTGAAAGGCTTAAAGATTTGGAAGATAGCACACTAAGAAATATTAGAACAGTAAAAAGACAAGAAGAAGAGGATCTTCTACGAGTAGAGGAGCAGCTTGGCTCTGATACAAAAGCAGTTGAAAAGCTTGAAGAGGAACAGTATGCTCTCTTTGCCAGAGATGAAGACCTGACTAATAAACTTTCCAACTATGAACCCAAAGTTGAAGAATGCAAGACACATTTGCCAACAATTGAGAGTGCTATTCGCTCTGTTCTCAGAGTCTCTCAGGATCTGATCGGGACAGAAAAAAAAATGGAAGACTTAACTACTCAGATGTTTAATATGGAAGATGATATGCTGAAAGCAGTATCTGAAATAATGGAGATGCAGAAAACCCTTGAAAGAATTCAGTATGATAGTAGCATATTAAAGATGCAAAATGACCTGGATGTTCTAAAAGGAAAAGTTCATGATTTTATGTTATATTCAAGTACAAGAGAAAAGGGAACTTTAGAAGAATATAATCTAGAAAATAAAGGAATTGATAGTGACTTTTAAATGCACCACATTTATTCTGATGACCATATTGTTATACATAAATTTATTAGTTCCATACTTCTGCATTATTTTGATATGCCTCACTTTATCCTACATTACTAGCTATTGCCAGTAATAGTGACATATCCACACACATGGATTATCTACATAATGACAGCTTATCTATTTAAGCAATAAAATTTATTTCACTTTAGGCATTGTAAATCGAAATATTTCCAAAATATATCTCCATTGTTTTAAAGCAATATACTTAACATTTTAAATGTTTTTCTAATAAGTAATGGACATTATTAGGAATTTCAGCTATTATATTGACCCAATATATATAATTGGACCCAAATATATTAATACCTCTGGAAGCTATTAAGGAGTGTTTCCCTTCTCACTAAATGACCCTAGTTTGCTATTTTTTTCAAAACTTATGTCTACTTCTTATACGTTTTCTATCACCCAAAGATGTGACCCATTGGCCACTATCACTGCCAGGTTGGTTGGTAGGTAATGTGCCTGCCTAACCAGTTCAGCATTTCCTTTGTAATTTAATGCAGGCTAAGATCCAGACCACCAAGTTCATAGGAATTTTGTCTAAAATGACCAAAGGAAAACATGAGGTGATTTGCTGTGAATCAATATGTACTTTTTGAAAACTATGGAGCCTGGGAAACATTTTTACTTTTTATTAAGGTTCTAAAGTGTATTGTAGATACTTGTAAGAATTTTTAAGGAAGAGTAAAAATGGGTGTGCCTGACTCCATCTCACAGTCATGAGTTTGAGCCCCATGTTGCACAGAGATGACTTTAAAATTTTTTTTAATTAAGAAAAAAGTAAATATATTCTTATTGAAAGTTTTACCTATGAATTAAGTATGTATGAAATATAGACTTTTGGAATATCTTTGTATACCTGGGCTTTTTTTTTTTTTTTTTAAGGTTCTAACTGTGTTACAGACTTTTGAGTTCTCTAGATACATGATCCCTAGATAAATTATTCTACCTACAATATAAAAAATACCAATACACCTGTGGCCTCTTTTAAAGAGGAAAAAGCAGCATATTGAGAAATTATGATAACTATGATAATTAAATGTATGTCATTGTTTTAAAGAGTTCCCAGACTAATTACCCAACCAAATTTGTTTTACATGATGATTTTATTTTACTCTAAATCATATAATGGAGTCATAAGTAATAAGATGTGGACATACTGAGATGTGATTAAGGGGAGATCTAGTCAGATTTTTCCAATAATCATAATTGGAAATGTGCAGAGGTGGGGAAGCACATAAGACTTTTATTGGTAACTGATGTATCAAGAGTGTCCAAACTTGGTGTTGAAAATTGAGTCAACTGCATATGGAAGTACTATTCCTACTTGTGTCTTCATGCCAGTAATCAACTGTAGTCCTAGTTTAATAATGTAATATCAGTGGAATTAAGCACTTTCAAGAACTTGAAAGCAGTCAGTTGAGGTCAGGTAGTTTTATTATGTACATTTGCATATTTATGGACAAATCCCAAACAAGTTCTACTTTGGGGTTAGGAGGGCCTATGGTAGACAGCCATGGGTCATAAAAATAAGTCTGAAAGAATGCTACTATTAAAGAGCATATCATTAATATCTGGAATCTTAACATTAAATTCCTTGATGTCTGAGTGTGTAAGTTCCTCTCTGTGTGCACTGACAAAATTGTACTTGTCTGCCTTTATTTTAATGCTAATAAAATAGATTCCAAAATTCACTAGAATTTTGTTGTTTCAACCTCTATCCTATCATGGCAGATGTGATCTCTCATTGTTTGTTTAGCCCATCATCAGATTTGATACATTATTATTAAATTGTATATACTATAGTAGTCGCTACAGAAAGTAAATGGAAACCAGGTGACCACTGTGTTCTGTAGTGACTGTTAAGAGGGAAACAAAAACTACCCTTCTACAAGTATTTCATGAGAAAACTATTGTGTATATGTATATACATATTATGTACATCTGTATATGTATATTTTCCTTTACTCAGAGGTTTTCCTATGAAAAATTGTCAGTAGAGGGTGGCAGCCTTCGGCTAGGGTCTTGATTCCAGAATCCTGGGATGGAGTCCAGCATCTGCCTGCTTCTGCCTCTGCCTGCTGCTCCCCCTGCTATATTCTCTCTCTCTGTGGCAAATAAATAAATAAAATCTTTTAAAAAGAGAGAGAGAGATTTTATTCATTTATTTCCCAGAGAGAGAGAAGGAACATAAACAGGGGGAGTGGGAGAGGCTTCCAGCTAAGCAAGGAGCCCAGTGCGGGACTCAATCCCAGGACCCGGGAATCATGACCTGAGCCAAAGGCAGACGCTTAACAAGTGAGCCACCCAGGCACTCCAGATAAAATCTTTAAAAAAAAAATTCTCAGTAGAGAGATTTAGATGTACCTAATTTGTCTTCTTGTGTTTCTTACATTCATTTATATAACACAGATACTTGAAATTTCAAAACCTTCCCTGTGTATCAAATATTAAATTGCATTGTTAGTCTTTCCTTTAAGGAAGATTTCCATATTCTAAGACACATTTTTGTATCTTTGTAGTTGATAACAAATTCTATATCAATTAATTTCTTATACAGAGTACCATTGGGTCCATTTTTTAAATTTAGTATTAATAAATCACTTTTACAAAATAAACACCTGATTTTTTTTAACTTTTGGATGCAAAGTTTAAAAATATATTTATAGTAATATTTCCTTAAATATTGCCTAATGATTAGAAGCTTGTTGATTAACTGTACTTTTATATTTTATAATGAAAAATGTTGATTTATTAGCTTATGGTTTCATAGAAAACTGGTTAACACTGATACAAAGCTAATGGCATTGTTTTTAATCTCAACCTGATTACAGACCTTTCTATGAATCCATGATCTTGATCAAAGCTTAATATGATGTCATTAATAATGATACTAAAAAAATTTTTTTAAATTACACTGCAAATTCACCAAGCACATGAAAAAAGATTTATTTCTCTATATACTTATGCGCATTGTTGCAAAAGCTCTGCAAATTTGCCCAGCATCTGTTTTCTTCAGTTTAGCTATGAACTATTAATAAAACACAAAATGCTCCATCCCAGCTTTCACAGCAAGGGAGGAGAGAACTAGCATTGGAGCCTATTACATGTCTAAAATTGCTAGGAAGTCTACATTCAACATCATCACAGTAATAGCTCTGTGTATTGAGTATCTACAATGACCTGTATAATGCCTACTTCGCACTACAACTTTGCTAGCCTGACACCCATTTTAAAAATGAGGAAATTGAGGCTTAGCAAGGTTAGGAAACTGGAATCACACTGCTAAATCTGTCTAGCTCCAGAGGCCACTGACCTCCCACTATACAATGCAATCTGTTACTATTCAACCAGGGGGAGAAAAATCACAAGAAATCCACTATCAGGGGCGCCTGGGTGGCTCAGTGGGTTAAAGCCTCTGCCTTCAGCTCAGGTCATGATCCCAGGGTCCTGGGATCGAGCCCCGCATCGGGCTCCCTGCTCGGCGGGGAGCCTGCTTTCTCCTCTCTCTCTGCCTGCCTCTCTGCCTACTTGTGATCTCTGTCTGTCAAATAAATAAATAAAATCTTTAAAAAAAAAAAAAGAAATCCACTATCAATAGAACCATCTTGAGAGGGCGCCTGGGTGACTCAGTTGGTTAAGCAACTGCCTTCGGCTCAGGACGTGATCCTGGAGTCCTGGGATTGAGTCCCACATCCGGTTCCCTGCTCAGCAGGGAGTCTGCTTCTCTGGTTGACCTCTCTCCTCTCATTTTCTCTCTCTTCTCTCAAATAAATAAATAAAATCTTAAAAAAAAAAAAAAAAGAACCATCTTGAGAATTAAAAAAACTGTAATTCAGCCAAATGTGTCCACTACCACATTGCCGTTATGAGACTGTAAGTCACCCAAAAGTTGTAACTATGACCTGAAATTGTTTGGGCCTTGGGCATAACAAAGAACCAATAAATGTTTAGGGAATAGAGGCGCCTGGGTGGCTCGGTGGGTTGGGCCGCTGCCTTTGGCTCAGGTCATGGTCTCAGGGTCCTGGGATCGAGTCCCGCGTTGGGCTCTCTGCTCGGCGGCGGGCCTGCTTCCCTCTCTCTCTCTCTCTCCCTGCCTCTCTGTCTACTTGTGATCTCTCTCTGTCAGGTGAATAAATAAAATCTTTAAAAAAAAAAAATGTTTAGGGAATAGTTAGAAAGCAGTGGTGGAGAAAGAGCCTAGACCAGACTCTTCTAATCTAGGCTTTGCTACTAACTGTGTGTTCTTGGGCATTTTATTTTGGGGCTCAGTTTTTTAATTTGTAAAATTAGGAAATTGTATCAAAAACTCTCTAAGGCCTCTTCTGGCTTTATGTGGTTTTTAATTTTAGAGATTAATAAAATTTCCCCGTCCTTTAGTTACAAAGATCAAAGATCCTTTAGCAAAGTTTTTGGAAAGCCAGGTGGACCCAGAAATCATTCCCTTGACCCATACTGCTCTTGTAGATCCAGAGAGCATCTAGCTTGTATATATGATAGGAATTTGGTAAAAATCTTTTGAGCTATTGGTGGACTCTCCAAAACTTCTATTCATTCTAGGCAAATAGTTTAACAAGCCCTAAGTATTAAAAAAAAAAAAAAAAAATTCTGTGTGGGATATCTGGATGGCTCAGTCGTTAATTGTCTGCCTTTGGCCCAGGTCGTGATCCCAGGGTCCTGGGATCGAGTTCTGAGTGGGGCTTCCTGCTCAGCAGGGAGCTTGCTTCTCCCTCTCCCTCTGCTGCTCACCCTGCTTGTGCTATCTATCTCTCTCTCTCTGTCAAATCAATAAAATTGTTTAAAAAGATAATAACTCTGTGAAACAATTTCAAGACTATTCCTACACTATATTCATAAATATTGTAGTAAAGATCAATAGAAGTTCATGATAAATTGCTTTTATAACCTACCAAAGGAAAGAGAGTCTTACTAACAGTTTCTTAATGATCTGATCCTTCTAAGAATAAAGTAAGTTCTTTCTGAGGAGTCTAAACTGTGTAATGCTGTTAGGCTACATTTACTCTACTAGAGTAGATACATTAATAAACAATAACCTAGTAATGAATTAAATAAGCCATCTACTTTCTTCACCCTTTGGAGTCTCTGTTTCAGCAAATACACTTGCAAAACCTCTCCCCTAAAAATAAAACATGCTTTTGCAATCACTACTTGATTTCCTTTCTGATGGTGATTACTCTTTTTTTTTCCTTTAATTTTATTTATTTTTTGAGAGCGAGAGAGAGAGAGCACAGGCTACTGGGGGAGAGGCAGAGGAAGAGGGATAAGCAGACTCCCCACTAAGTGGGGAGCCAGCTATCAGGCTTGATCCCAGAACCCATGACCTGAACTGATCTGAAGTCAGAAACTTAACCAACTGAGCCACCCAGGCACCCCTGTGGTTACTCTTCAATGTCATACCCATAATAACATTTTAACTGTCGTCTAACTTCTCTACCGAAAAACATTTGGGGGCACCTCCCCCCACCAATAATTAATATAGCATAAACTTAAGAAGAAAAATCCTAAAATACATTTTGAAATCAAACATATATAATGGGGCTAAGAGAGGGAATTACTACTTTGAGATAACTGTTCTGTTCCATTTCAGCTTATCATTATTTTGCAGCTATATTTTTACTCCTTTTTTAAGCTGCCATAAAAATAATATCCTGAACATATTAATTTTTATTTGCATTATATAAAACCATGTTAATGTTATCAAAATAATCTCAAAAGAGATTTTTTTTAGTTTTTTTTAATTTTTGAGGTTATTTTAAGATAGTAAACCAGGCAAATGCAATTTTATAATGGTAATTCATAAAAATATTGAAATACACAATTATTTTGGAAAAAAACATTTAAGTCTTTAGAAGAAACTGTAGATCTT